GGAGTCGTTGAAATTTGGTATAGCCGCATACCAACTGGTAGTATTAGAAGCTGGCCTGATCTCAAAAAGACCTTCTTGAATTAGTACGTTTCAAGTAAAGAGGAAGAGGGCCCTATCCAAAGGTTACAGGACATAAGACAATAGGCAGACAAAACTTTGAAGAGCTATTTGGCTAGGTTCACAGATGAAATGACCTATTGTGAATAGGTAATCGATAGGGAAGCTCTATCAGCATTAAGAGGAGGCTAAAACATGAACACACTTTTTTAGAGAGGTACGGAATCAAAATCCTACCACTTATGATGCCTTCGAGGAAATGATGAGAAGCGAGATAGTCAATGAAGAATTGATCGACCATCATAATCGGACTTCATTGGGTCTTCCATCCCCATAAAGACAGAGGAGAGGACCCGTGTTACATTTGGTAAGCCAGTAGTGGACCCAAGCTGGACACACAGTCACCTTCACTTCTAGTTAAGCTTTAGCCACTGCTACTTTGAATGCAATACATCTTTGGCTTATGAAGAAGTCAGACTTGACATGTGAGCATAGTCGAACCAACCCAGGGGGAGAAGAAGAGGAAGGTGCAATGAGCCTAGAAATAGGCCACATTGCTCTTATCACTGAACTCACAGCCATAGCACTAATGACTACATGTCGAGGCCTTATCATCAAGAACCAACGGGCCAGTATAATAATAGACGGAATGCACGCCGAGATCAGAGGGACCATATTAAGGAACTTTGGTTTGTCACATCTATCCACCATTTGTGTATGAAGTTTTCCTCTGAACAAGGCATTGCAACGATTCGAGGCGATCAAATGGGCTTAAGAAAGTATTACCTCAGCTCATTAAGAAAATCTGAGCCCTAAAATATCAGAGGGAGTCGAAATGATAAATACCTTATCAGAGGGAGTCACCCATGGAAAAGGGGTAATGGAGATAATCTTAGACCCCAGAATCACAGAATCGGACTCACAGGCCACCTCAGTCGAGGAATTGGACCCTTTTCCTATGGATCCATAGGATCTCTCAAAAACATTACTGGTGAGAAAAGAACTGCAGCCAGAAGATAAGCGGAAGGTCAAGGACTTCCTCCTTGGCAACTTGGATGTATTTGCATAAAAGCACGGAGACATTGTGGGCATCGATCTCAAGGTTAGCTGCCACCACCTTAACATTGATCCAAAATTTACCCCCACCGACAAAAAAGAGGGCCTTGAACCCCCAGAGATACGAACCCTTGAAGAAGGAGGTGCGAAAGCTAGAGAATAATGGGTTTATCAGGAGGCAATCTACCCAAGGTGGATATCAAATCCAGTCTTAGTAAAGAAACCTAATGGCAAGTGTCGGGTCTGTATAGATTTCTCCGACTTCAACCAAGCATGCCCAAAGGACAATTTCCCCCTTCTAAGAATCGTTCCACTCGTATATGCCACTGTGGGTCATGAATTGCAGAGTTTTATGGATGCATATTCGGGATATAATCAGATTCCCATGAACCCATCTGATGAGGAGAACACTTCCTTTATTACGGATAGGGGGCTCTATTGCTACAAAGTGATGCCTTTCGGATTGAAAAATGCCGGTGCCACTTATCAAAGGCTAGTTATATACACTTATCAAAGGTTAGTTATATAAAAATGATGGATTGCTATTTTCGAAATGTGTGGGCTGTTTATAGGCCTTGATAAAACTACTATAAATTTGTAGTTAGATTAATGTATTCACTCTCCTAATGTTTTAGTAAAATATATAGTCCTTGTTTGAACCCCATTTTTTCAAGAATGCATTTTTTTCAAATCTTATTTTCAACCATGCATTCTTCCATAAAAAAATTATACACATATTTTAAAATTTTTTTCCTTATTTTTAACTACACATTCTCTAAAAAATCATTATTTCATAATACTTTTTACCCTAAAAATGGGGATCAAACAGGGGTATAACGATTAATGCACTTGAAACTATCATTTAGATAAATAGTAAGTTTTTCTCGAGTGAAATGAGACTTAAAAGAGTAAAATATGAAAATCAATATGTCTATATGTTTGGTATAATTAAAATCTAAATTTTAATCTAAGTCAAGTTCACCTATCAAATTTTAACCATATATTATACGAGTCTTATAACTTTTCAACAACCTATTTTATCAACCTATATTAAAATTTATTAAAATTCTTATTTTAATCCCTATCAAATAGGATCATAACATTAAGGTAGTTTTAATTTAGATTTTAATGAATTTCTATCATCTAAATAAAAATTAGATCTAGGCTTAGATGGGTCAATTTGAGTATTTCAATGCCTAGAACCATTCATTGTACTTTTCAGTACTTCATCAATGAAACCATTCGAGTTCTTGTAATCATTGGAACTAAACCTAAACTGTCGGTTCCAATTTGGATTTGATTTTATTCAAAACATTTTTTATATACATTTAAAAAATATTTACATATAGACCATTTCAATACATATACTTACTACTCCACAATATTTGTGTGAGGGAGAAAACTCAGTTAAGAAATATTTTAAAAGAAAAATAGTGGAGACTAAAACAACGATAAGAGGAGAAAATTAAAATATAAAAAAAAATTAAATTACAGTTTGAGAAAAAATTATTTTTCTTAATAAATTTTATTCGATCCACAAGTGAGGCATGCTAGAACTTATAATTTAATTATGGACAATGCTTAAATTCTTATACTCTTGAACGAGCTCACATAAAAATACTATTTAGATACATAAAATGTGTAGTACAAAAGAAGCTATAGCTCACATATCGAACTCGCACTATTTGAAAAAAAAATTATTGTTAAAAAGAAAATCACGAACTCAAGATAACAAAAAATGTACATCACACACGAGCTATGAATATATTAAGTTCAATTACTATACGTTAAAAAAAAAAGAAAAAATAATAAATTTGCAAACAATGAAAATGTAAAAAGCTTGAATTGCAAAGAATGAACCCTTCGATTTATCAACTTACACCACAATCTAGCTTGAACTGTTAGATTCATAGAAAGCCCAAATCGCAAATAGTGATATGTACTAAACCTTTGAAATACAACAATTTGATGTGAAGTGAGATGTTAAAAGGTAAAAGCCACTCTTTATTTTTTAGTATTAGAGTTTAGAATTTAGACAAATTACTATCCAATTTAGGTTATGTAATTTTATTTTTTTTACCCAATCTATAAATAGTGAATAAAAAAAAATATAAAAAATCGTTTCATTAGGGTATCCACGATTCTGGTTCAGGAACCAAAGAATTGACCTGGATCCAATCGATTTTAAGTTACGATTCCTAATTTATTTTTTTTGGAATTAGATCGAAACATCCGATTTTAGTTCGAAAACTTTGATTCCAATTAAAATGTCGAGGTCAGCACCCGACAAATCTTTGCAGCCGCTTGTGTTGACTCCACCTAATTTTTTTCTTATATTTAGCAGCCACTTGAACGGTCGTCCGGCAACCGCCCGTGTTAACCTAAATACATTTGTGCTTACATGGATTCCTGAACCCGTCACCAGCCGATGTCTAATTTTTCTTGGGTGAAGTGAGACTTAAAAAAGTAAAATATGAAAATCAGTAATATAACATTTAGGGTACTCTCAACTTAGATTTTTAATGAATTTCTTAATATTTATGTATTCTTGTATGTTTCATGAATTAAAATAGAATTCCACAGATTCTTTAAGACTTTATGTCCCCTTTGGTAGCAATTTTTAACTTCAAAAAATTGATTTTTTTGACCATTATGTCACTATTCTAGTCGTTATTTTTTATTTCTTCACTCACAGATGAGACCTACTTTTCTCTGTAACAATAAAAAAATCAACTCTTATAATTACTACCGAATATGCTTATTATATATTATAAATTTTAATGACTTTCGAAGATTTCAGTGAAATTATACATAACTGAAAATTCACCACTTCATAATGTTAATAACTAATTTCATCAATCTAAAAAATCAAACAATTAAGTATCAAAAAATTAAAATCCGTTCAATCTGAAAATTGAAAAAAAGAGACAAAGTCAAACAAATAAATATCAAGAAATTAAAAATAATTTTAATCTAAAAATAAAAAAAACATTTTTTTATCACTAAGTATAATATGATAAAAGACGTGTCTAATTGGTGAATAGAGTTGTAAATGGACTAATTAATTTTTTATTATTAGAAAATTCGATTCTAAATTCTTATTAAAACGACAAACTCTCGTAACAATAAAAAATTGAAAATGAGATATTTTATTTCTATAAATTCCTATTATTTTGTCAGAGCCATAAATAATTTTGACTTCACACTTTTGAACTCGAAATTCATTAAAATTTGACGATGCTACCGTGTGATTTGTCCGTCTATTTTATTTATTTATTTATTTTTTTATTCGACAAATTGTTGCCAAGTATCATCAACCATTTTTTGTACATATGGCATAGTTCTTTAAAAAATTGCAACTTTTGACACAGGTGAGACTCATAGCAGTTAGCACCCTGGATTTATAAATCTCTTCCAAAATACTTTTTTTTGTTTTGTTTTGTTTTTTTTTGTTTTTAAATCCTTACCTTCAACCTTGTACCACTAGTGATAGTCACAAGTCGTGAAAGAAGAGAAAGAGATGAAAAAGAAAATATGTCCCGACAATACATTTTAATACAGGAAAAAGATAAACGGACAGGACCACGTTGGCCCTGTTCGTTGTGCACCCCCCCCTATTGGCTGGGAGTCTATCCATGTAGCAGGGCTCTTTAATACAAGGCCAGGAGCAACTATTGCCCTGTTTGGTTCCCATTTTTTTAAAATGCATTTTTGTCTCTTCTTTTCAACCATACATTCTTCATTAAAATAATATTACACGTAAATCAAAAACTTTTTCTTATTTTTCAACCACACATTTCCAAAATGTATTTTTACATAAAAATGACTCTCAAACACTCTCTATATAAATTCATAATGTTGCAATTAAAGCACCAAGCACACTTCCGTAATATGACATAACTAGCAAATTTTATCAAGCACATCCCCATTAACCTCTTCCAATCGTATCTAGTTCAACATACAAAACATACTGCTAACATTCGAATGACCACTGATTATACGAGTTACATATCTCGATAGAAAGCTCATCACAAATTTCTCTAAGATTCCCTACAGATTTTTACTCATCTAATTCCACTGGTACACAATGGAAAGACATTGCTTTATTATGCTTATACAGGTTTGGTTCATACAAAGTGACTAATCCTCGGCGTCGCAAACTTTGCAAGTGCTCCCTTTCATTTGTTTTTCTCACTGTGTGAGCAGCTTCGAGTCACATGCCACAATCTTCATGTGACCAACGTTCTCCTGGAAATCTTCGCTCTTCAAGTGAACATCTTGCAAGATGAAAGTCCAAACGTTGTCACAGAATCTGTAGGTGTGAAGATGTCCCTGAAGTAAACACGGTGCACTTATAATTACAGGATTGTGTTCAGTAACTACGGTTTACCGCAACATCAAAAGGACAGACAGGCTAAAAGGCTGAAAAGCATAAAAAAGAGACAACAGATATTTGGAGGAAGAAAAAAATGACATGCCAGTCCATATTCTCACATACACAGAACAACTGCTGAAGAAAAGAACAACAGTCTGTGCAATCAAATAGCGAGCTAAAATTGGGGGGGAAAAAAAAAAACTAACAATAACCAAGGCTGAATAAAACTACGACGGCTCCACCAACATCACATGCAGATAGTCCTAAAGCCGTTCCTCAGGTGGCTTAAATTAGGATTCTAAGGATATAGTTTGGTACATTTGAATCAATAAGTAATTAACAATATGAAATAAGTGTAAAGAGGACTCACAAATACTTTTCATAAAGAAATATTAGCAAAAGAAGCAAAATGTAGTACAACAAGAAAGAGTTGACCAGGCATGAAATGATCTCAACAAGTTGCAGGCTGATTGTTATTACTGAAAAAGATGCTGGATCTGAAAATTAATCAAACTGTTAACCCAAAGAACAGAAGCGAAAACAAATTAGACAATTGAAATAATTATTAAAAGGGAAGGAGAAGGTGAAAGGGGAAAAATTGTACAAACAAAAATTAAATTTATCTGAATAGCATCACTAAGGTTATCCATGCTACAAGACAAAATTTCAGGTAAACAAAACATGGTTGAAAGTATGAACCACTAAAACAAATTGGTACATAAAATTTATGGACATCTTTTCATATTAAATAAGCAGCAAAGTTGAAAGTACGAACCACTAAAACAAATTGGTACGTATATTTTATGTCCATATTTTCATATTAAATAAGCAGCAAAAGGAGAAAAATGTCAAATTAAAAAATTCTTGACAAAGTTTATATTATTTATACACACTTAGTTGTTTATGGTTTCATGTGAACATCCTGTTTAACAAAATCAAGGAGATAAACAAGATAAAGAAAGAAAACCCAAACGCATACCCATGAAAACTATTATAAAAATTAAAGATGATGGATTGACATTATTCATTGTTTTCTGAATTGAATTGTATTAACATCAGAGACTAGAAGCTATTTTTTGCTTGTATAGGCCATATTCTCTTGACCACACACCTTCATCTTGGACATAAGTCCCCCAGAATTGCATGTGTTCTTAGTGAAGAAGTCAATTGTAAGGCCCATGTACTGGGCTGTATCTATGAATTCTAGGAGTATGAGATAAATCATCAATTTTCCAAATACTAATTGCTTTGGAGACAGAACTTAAGATATAGAAACCTAAATAAATAATAGCACATTCATATGAATGGGAAAGAAAGTGAGATGATCAAAGTCTGTAGAATTTGAAGGTTTTTGCTCTATTTTCCAAAACATTAGCCTTCTTTGATATACTAGTATATTTTTTCTTTTATGAAATTTTAGTGCTTGATTTATGTGATTCAAGACATTCATGATCTCCAGTCCTGTTATGAGCTATATTCGTCTTAAGACTCCAATAAACATAAAAGTTATTATGAATGTAGCATTTAAAATTTTGGGCAGTTGTGAGCTCTGTCTCTAAGTATGAAATCAGTAAAAATGAAAGCAGCATTTAAAATTTGGGCCTGAAGTTTAAAGCCTTAAAACAATTTATCGGAGGAAAAAATAGCTTGTTGCTCAACAAGTTCTACACATCCCCAATATCCGAAGTCACAACAAACATAGAAGAAGAACATACATGTTGTCTGTCCGTTTGAGGAGAAAATGACTGTTCTATAGCGCAACCTTCTAATACAAGCACCTGTCTCAAGGGAAGTCTAGGTGAGATCTTGCATTTTTCTTCTCCTCTCAGAATTTTATGGCATACTCTGCAACAATTCCAGAATTCACCTTCCTTGCCAATTTATGTGAACGACACTCCTGGCTTTAGCTTTCCATTACCTTTACAATTGTAATCTCACACTCAAGCACATAACTGTTTCCAGCTTCAGATGGGAATGGGTGAAAAAAGTTGCTCAACTAGGAAAGAAAACATAGCCTAATGCACCTCCCTCACCAATTTTTGTGAACCAGCACTCATGGATTTAGCTTTCCATTACCTTTATAATCATAATCTCACACTTAAGCACATAATGGTCTTCAGTTTCAGATGGGAATGGATGAAAAAAGTTGCTCAACTAGGAATAAAAACACAGCTTTGACAAACCACACATCAACTAACATGCTGAAATGATACGGGCACTCAATAAAGGAAAAGAATGTGCTACTTCTATAGACAGAATTTGCTGACATCTGTAGGGGGTGAACATCTTCTAACAAAATTTGGACAGATTCACACTCAAAATTCCAATTCCTGCACTTCGAATAGTGTTTAATTAGCTGATAATTAGCAGGATGATGATCTAAAAACTAATGTACCATAAGTACTCCGAGGTCCTACAGCTTCCATCAGAGTGCTATCTCATATTCCTTCCCATCTTCATATATAAGGTATCTTACTTTGAGGCATATCTCATAATGTTACTCAAGCTTATTTAATATTCTGCAAGTTCCTAACTCTATAAAATTGGTGTATAATGCATAAATAGATTACATACGCAATTACATGAAATTCTAATAAAATTACATTCTAGATTAGTTGAGTATTGCATTTGGAAGATCATTCAAGATGCTGTCATACCTTGAATTCTGAACAAGAGAGCACTTGCACACTGGTACTCGCAATACAATTTGTGAATTATTGCTAAATGGATATCTGATACTTTGTCATACTTTGAAGAACTAGAGAGGCACTAGCACACTAGTACTCGCATTTCAATTTGTGACTTGTTGCTAAAGGACATTTGATACGTGGAACTAATTGGTGACCTCAGATGATAATTCATTTTTCTATCGTAGAGCAGACATAAAAATGAGCGTACTTCTTTTCAGAAGTATTTCTTACCACTAGTAAGCCAAAAAGATGCTGCTCTTTTTGCAAAATGGTAAATCTTTGTCTCAGCTTTTTGATCATCCTATTCTCATAAAGTACTCCATACATTACCAATTCACTTAGAAATCATTATGATTGTACTCTTAGGAGATGCATATATTTAAAGAGTATATGCCTTGTTTCCCATCTTGGTCTTGTAGAACACAAAAAAGCTCTTGAAAGTTTAGTATGTTCCTATGCATGAATGCAACAATTTGGGAACAGACAAGCTTCCTAGAAATACTAACAGACGTTGCAAAATGAGAACTAAATATGGTTACATACTTCATGGTTTTCAATTTTTCTTGCAAAAAGCTACTATCATGGAATTAGATAAATATGGTTTTTAGCATGCTACAAATCAAATGTACGCATAGTGACTCAAGTTTATTTAATCTCATGGTTTTCAATTTTTCTTGCAAAGACAAAAAGGGTCATGGAAAGAACAACTTAGTAATTCTTTCACAGTTGGCCACATGTTACCAACCATAACGATATGAAGATGCATGTTTTTCGGATTAGTATACATACATTAAAAATAAATACTAACAGTTTGGCAAAGAAGGACAGCAGAGCAACTTCAAATAAACATTCTCGTAATCAGATCAAAAATTAATTCAATCAATGATCTAATTTCAGTAATTATTTTTTCCTGCAGGACAACAAGATAATTAATATTTCTTCCTTCTCAAATAAAACGGCCAACTTCAAAATATGTTCCAACGAATTTATACAACATGCAAAGGCAAACCTTTATATATATTCTTTCTGCAAAATAATATTTCTTTACCTTAATAGAAACCTTGCTCTTCACCCGGTTTTCCAGTGCTTCAGTCATCGACTGCAAGACATAAAAACCTCAAAATCAAGTATTTGTATTCGGAGCATATCCATTTATAAATCTCCGTATGTTTTCATATATAAATACACAAACAAGCAGACAAACAGGCACACATTCATCAAATAAGAGGCTGTGACCTTGTCAAATTGAACAAGGACTTGAATGGCAAGCTCAGGGCTAAGAACACCACTTGAAACCATCTCGTCAAGTGTCTCCGTCAGGCACATGCCAATCGTCGATCTCCTGTACAACTCAAACGTCGCCATTTTTATGCCGATCTATCCAAAAGCCACAACCAAAGAAAAAAAATTAAGATCTACACAAAATTAACAATCAAAGTTCTTCAAACCAACTCGAAAATAGAACGATAATTTCAGTCGAACAACCAGTAGCAAATTAAAAAGTACATGATACGAACTTGATAAATGCACTAAATTAATTACTTCATTATGTATAAACGGAGAGATGTTTGTATGTATAGGTGTGTGTGTGTGTGTGTGTGAGAGAGAGAGAGAGAGAGCAAGAGAGAGGAGTTACGGGCTCTAAGATTCGTTTGGAATTGAAGCTGGAAGTCGAGTGGGAGAAGAATTGGGGCTTTATATACCCTAGTATTTGTAGCTGGGTATTTATATACAGGCGAGCGACGATGGTAACGAGCTTTAAAAAGGCAATAATGCCCGTGTTCTCTCGCATTCTGTCATTTGCTTTCAACGACTCCTTTGTGGTATAAATAAATTATAGGAAAATTGCATTATCGGTCCTCAAACTTCTTCTTAGTAGCAAGTTGGTTTTCATGACTTGAATCCACTCTCTACGAATCAAGGATCGTTAGTTGTGATAGAGTGCTGATTAGAGTTGAGTTAAGACCAGTCTCGATATATCTTCTCCAAGTACATTTTTAATTTTCTAGTTGTATTAAATCTTGAATTACATCAATTGTGAAACGTCGAAGCAAGTTCAAAACATGTATATGCAGAAAACAACGATCATATTAGAAAATTCATTCATGAAGAACTTGCCTCTTGCAATTCATCTAAATCGATTATTATTATGTGGTTGAGAAACAAGAAGGAAGGATAAATAAAAGACTCAAGCTAGTGTGATTTTTGCAACGAACCTAGAACTTGATTAGAGAGCGCAAGATTTTATCATCCTCCTAACACGAATTTATAGCATTAGAGATGACAATTTAGCTAGGAATGAGTCATATTTCTCACACCTATATCACATGTTACTGCACAAAATAAAAAGACATGTTAAAGATCAATTTATTATTTTTGGCCTCCAGTTATTTTGATATTATAATTTTTGGAATGGTATTTTTTTGGAAAATACGTGATTAAAAATAAAGAATTATTTATTTATTTATGTGTAATATTATTTTATTAGAAAATGTGTGGTTAAAAAAAAGAGAGATAAAAATATATTATAAATTTAATGAGGTTCAAATGGAGGCTTATAAAGGTTTAAGATCAATTTGTCATTCCAACAATAGATTTGAGACTAGTGCAGTACTTTCATAATTAGTAGATGATAAATGTCTTCTTACGAAAATATTGTGCTGCTAGTCTCAATCTATGGCTCTTGTTGTATTTGGTCCCCAAGTTATTTTTGACGTGCTTAACCGTTCGATTAAGAATAATGTTACTTGTACATAAAGAATTACATATAGATGAGGGTAAAAAAGGGAGTGATTTTTTTTTATTTGGTTGAAGAAATTCTGATATAATCATATCTTACCATATCATGTGTATGTATGTAAATCATATAATTCATTGTATACATGCATCACGACTCAATTATAGGAAGCAAGGTGGCTAGGATAGAGGTACGGCAAGTTGTGGTTATTGCCCCCC